ATGTGAAGCCACAGCTGCTGTCAGCCAACCTTGCTTGTTGAAAATTCAGTGGTATGTGGATCTCTGCATTTTGGCACTTGCCCAGTCTCCTGGATCTGCTTGTCCTCAATGGCATCTGTATCGTCTTTCCACAGGGCTGTAAGCAGGTTTCCCAATTCTTCGCTTGCTCCCATTTCACACTGTAGGTGGAAGTGCCCTCACTGTCCTGTCCAGTTTTGGTTTTTAGAACATTCTCTTTGGGACTGTTCTGTCACAACAATAGAGATGGGAGCACATGTGGTGCTCTTACCTAGGACACACACATACTACTTTAATGAAAGGAAAAGACAAGTAAATTAGCATAACCTATACATAGTGCAACACATAAACGTTTTGTTCAGTTGTGCATAAATAACCCAGCAAAGCAGGTGGTATTAATCCTATTTTTAATTTAAGAAATCTGAGGCTCAGAGTGATTACATAATTTTCCAAAGTTAAGATTCAATGAATGAATGAACTAAGGAATGAATGAATCTCTAGGGAAAACTGCATGGACTGAATGGATTAAGATACTGAGATAAAGAAAGGTCAATTTTTCAAACCATTTAGCAATCAACTTATAGAGAGTAAGCTGGTCTGACAGTCACATGGGTTTATGTTTGGGGGTAGGATGCTGCTGAAGAACCAATGATGACAATTTTAAAAGAAAACAAGAATGAATAACAGATGAAACTTCATCATGGAGTAGAAGAACAATGGTGAGTCAAATGGATGTTAGGCTTTCACCAGGAGCAGTCAGCCTCATGGTAAATCTTTCTGCTAGTGGCATGTTTTGAAGAACTTTCTTAAGCTTCAATGCCGAATATTGGAATATCTGAGAGAAATACACAAATTACTACAGAAATATAACTGGCAAAACCTGACTTAGGAAGAATTAGAAAGCATAATTACTTTCAATTATTATTAAAAGAACTTAATTATTTAAGAAAATTCTATTTTAAAAGACTCACCAGAAATTTTATAGTTTTCATTCAAATACTACCAGGTTTTTTTTAAAGAAACTTCCAAAAGTATACATTTTTTCCCCAAAAGAAGCGGAAATGATGGTATGTTCTGCAACTTACAATGAGGCAGTATAATTTTGATTTTTAAAAATAGACAAGTAGCAAAAAGAAGCATCAATTGTGGGCCTTAATATAGTTGCAGAACTTCTAAATAAAATGTTCATAAACCAAATCTACTTCTCTATGAAAATATTAGGAAATATTGACTGGTTTATTTGCATGAAAGGATTGTAAGAATGGTTTCATAATGTGGAACTGTATAAATCCATATTTCCTCAGTATACTAGAATGAGAGCAGGCATATCAACATCTGAAAAGATGTGAAAAAATTAACATTTTTTATAATAAAAATAATACTATACGAATAAAAGAGAAGGAAGTATTTTATTTAAATTCAGGAACAAGCTATCAAATGGTCTGTTTGATCCCTCATATTTGATGATAAATTGGAATTCTGGCCAGGGGAATGAAACAGAATATGACATAGTAATTATAAAAATTGGACATTGCTGATACCATTGTTATTACCATATGGTACAACTTTATACATACAAATCCAAATACATATACAGACAAAATACAGGCAACAGAAAAACATGAGTAGTAGGGTCATTTATAAAGTCAGTCTATACTAGTAGAACCTAAATACACTAGCAACAAACACTTTAATATTAATACTAGCAAAAGCAATTTCAAAAATATTTGAAATAAAAAATATAAAACAACCACAAATATATTTATATTAGACTTTAAGGAGAAAATTATTTTTAAAAAAATACAGATGAATATTTGCAGACCTGAACAATCCTGTATTCATGAATAAACAAGCTTGTAATACATATGTCATTTATCCCAAAACTGATCTATGGGTTTAGTACAATTTCAATCAAAATCACGACTGATCTTTATGTGTTTTTATTTTTATTTTTGTGAAAGTAAGTTTAAAATGTATACATAAAGGAAAGAAAAAATAATATCTAAGATTCGTCACACCCTATGAGATGTAAACTTAGTAGAAAACTATAGTAATTTTAAGAGTGTGATATTGGTACAAAGGTAAAAAAATGCATGATCGTGCTGAATAAAAATGCAAGAATAAATGAACAAATATATAAAATTATATTTATGACTGAGTTTGCATGGTGGAAGCTGAATTAATTATTCAATAAATTAAAAGATGGTTAAAATAAGTAGAAAATTTTGGTGCACTACAACCAAAGAAAGGAAGAAAGATAAGAAAGGAAGGAAGAAGGAACAGAGGAAGAAATGAAGGAATCAAAGAAGAAGGAAGGAAGGAAAGAAAGGAAATGAAAATGAAAATGACAGGGATGCATATTTTATACCACAATCTACTGAATAATTTTACATCAAAAATTACTCAGCAATTTTAAGAGCGTATATGGAATCCTCTTCTGACCTCTGAGTAGGGGAAGCTTTTCCTACACAAGACTCGTTAAAAGTGATAGCCATTTATCAAAAGATTGATGAATTTGAGTATGTTAAAACTGAAATCTTATTTATTAAAATACATATTAACAAAAGTAGCAGGAAAATTTTTCTACTTGTAAAGGATATTTAAAAATTGCAAGCCATAAAAGATTAAAATTTGAACCAGTGAAAAATTTTTACTAACTGATATAAACAAGAGTAGAAAACAGAGGAAAAGACTAAAAAAAAAAACAAAAAAAAACCCCATGAATTTAAGATGAATGACATTCCACGTGTCAGAGAGGATGACTTCCATCAAGTGTCTCCGCTTTACATTTGTGCAACTTCTTTGAGAAACACATTGGTATTGCCTTATATAATTGCATATATCTTTATGAAAGAAGACACTGCCGACCCACTAGGAAGTACATTTAAGAAGGCATTTTTTATAAGAATATAAAGCTAATCCATCGAAATGGCCATTGATATGGATTTTAAAAGCCATATTTATATAACTAGTATTTTACACAGCTGCAAAAATGAAAAAGAATAGTTGTACATGGAAAGAACTTCAGCTTCAACACTAATGGATTTAGTACCAGTGCTAAGTAGAAAAACGAATAAAACTGTATGTCGATTACAGCACACATATGGCACATTCAGAGTAGTGTCCACCTCTGTGAATGAGGAAGAGCCATGCTATGGTGAATAAGCTCAGAAGTCTGTGGAGATTATTGGAAATGTTCTACCTCATGCTGGGGGAAGTGGCACATAGGCATTTATTATAGTACACATAATACAAGCAGACCAAATGGTCTAGAAGAAAATATTTGTAGCATATCTGGAAAAAGAAAAATATACACACATAATATTATATGTAAAACAGTGCGTGGTAATTTCTTGCCTTAATGACCAGGGGTATTAATATGAGATGATGGGCTTTAGTTAATTTTTATACATTTGTCACTATATTTATGCGCAGTTTGTGTAACTTTGAAAAGATATTTTAAATAATGTGAATTTAAATGCAAGATAACACTTGTAGTATGTACAGAGTTTATGGCCAAGAATCAAAGGATAACTCAGTTGAAAAGAGGGGCAAGGCTTTGAAGGTGAGGTTCATGGAAGAGTCACACAAGTCCAGCACACCTATGAACATATGCTCAACCCTCCAGTAAAAAGGGAAGTGAGATATTAGAAAAAAAAAAGATTCAATATTTTCTCATTGTCAACTAAATGTTAACGATTTGTTCAAATAAAATTGTTTTAGGGTTGTAAGGAAATTGGGACTTGCATAGTCCACAGTGGGAGACTAAAATTTAAAGAGATAGGATGATGTCACAGAAATTTTCTCTAAAGAAACCCTTGAATACAAACAAATGTTCACAGAAATGTGCTTAAAATATTAACTACAGTACTTTTAATAATCGTGAAACACTAGGAATGTTTTAAAAATCTGTAAAAAGAAGTCATTTATTTAATGTTGAAGTGTACTTATATTATCCTGTGACATTGAATCATTATACGCTGTGGTTTGCCACATTATTTATGCTTATGGTATGTGTTAATACAGAAGGATCTCTTAGACACATTTTAAGTTAGGAAAAAAACCCCACACATACAGGTAAATGAACAGTAGGTATACCACGATCCCCGTCGTGTTAAAAATCAGTGTGATAAAATTTTACATATATCCATATATATATGAATAATATATAGTATATAGAAAATTACTTGGTTGTTGCACATTGTATTATTCCTAGTGATTATCTCTGAGGCAAAGGAGAGGAAGAAACAGAAGTTTCTTCCCTATTTAAATTTCTCTTGCAAGGAAAGAGGACCGTATGACTGTACAAGTGCCTGCATTGCCTGTCTTGTGACAAGTAGCAGCAAGAGCAGTGGGTATTTGTCACAGTTGACCCAGCAGTTAAGCATGAGTGGTCCCAAGGGGCAGACACCACTGACCAGGTCAAAAGATGAGATGAAGGTTGGCTCCTACACGCAAATTCGAATTCAAAGGAAAATGCCAAAACAGTGGGCTAGAGCCTCACTTGGAGCCTGATGAACTTCTAGCAGTAATGAAGAAAGCAGCAAAGTATTAAAGGCTCTATATTTACTGATTTGGTAATCACATTTACATAATAACTCAAAAGAGAAATTGTGATTAATAAAAATTATTAAATGAATATTATAGCATATATCATTCTGTATTATGTTATCTGATGCCACATCTGGAATAAAATGTTAATTAAACTTATAATTTCTTAATTATTTTGTTTTTTATATTTTGGAGTTTATTAATATAACAAACAGTCATTATAGAATGTAGAATATGCAATTACAAACTGCTTTTAAAGAACAGAGTCTGGGTTATATAATGGCAAATTACCTTGATATGTAAAATATCAACCAAACAATTTATGATTTTCATAAAAAGGTATATAGTTCATTCGACAAATGCTAAGAGTAAAAACTGAACAGGTCCTCATTTTAAAATATCAATAGTACCATAACGTGCTTCTTTTTCAGGTTAAACTTTTTCCGTGACGTCCCTGACTTCCGAGTGCTAGCCTGTGGTGGAGACGGAACTGTGGGCTGGATTCTGGATTGCATAGGTAATGGTGAAACGTAGGGAACACGCCTTGAGTGAGAGTAGTAAGCTTAACTTGTCTGTCTGTCTCCAGCATTAATGTATTTAGATATACTGATATAATTGGATGTCTTGTAAATGTTACACTATTTACTAGTTTAATTCTATTATCTCAAAATCTGAATGGACATAATAATTTGTAATTATATAGAAATGCTTGTCCCTAGTTCATTGCTCATAATACTTCTTAAATCTTCAGATTCATTTTCAAATTAAGATATAGGAAGTTTGCTTGTGTTTTTGCCCGAATAGGGGGGAATCTTAGCATTTCTAATAAAATCTGTGCCAAATAGATATGTTGACCACATTTGGATATGAAATCTCAAAATCTTATTCTTGTGTGTATTCATATGATTCCTAACCATCATCATCACCACTTTTATTTTTTCTTTATACAGATGAGATGGTCCTTTATTCCCTCATAAATCTATTACATAAACATTTTTAATGTAACAGTTGGAGAAGCTAAGGAGCTAGAACTAAATCCTGTAGCTTAAACTGGCAGACTTGGGCTTGAACCCCACACGTGAACTTTATTCTCCATTGTTAAGTAAAGAGTTTGAGTTTATAAGCCCACAGAAGAGGTCTAAGATTCAAAATAAAATGTGAGCAGGCAGCACTGGAAAAGAATTGATAACTTCTGAAAATTTATATAGGTTTTCAGATCTAGACAGTTGTCAGAACTGATTGCTAGTTACAACATCAGTAATGATGTCAAAACATCATAAATTGGCATTTATGAAGAGATCAATTTAAAACAAATGCTTATTTTTAGGTCTTATTTCAGTTACTGAATTAATGAAGTCTTTGTTGAAAGCAAGCCCTTTCACAATTAAAGTTAATTCAAAAAGTTTTGTTTTATCTATATAATTTAAAACAAATTTCTATTTAGTCAATGGAGATAAGAATATTGTATTTTTCATACACTACAAAATATTCACTTTTAAAATAACTACATATTTTCAGCAAAATTTTAGTAAGAATCTACCAACTTAAATCTACTCATATTTTATAAAATATTCAGTGAAAATTCTGATTTTGGCATTCAAAAAAAAAGTGAAATAGTATATAAGAAGTAACTAGATTTCAAGAATTACGAGTAAATCAGCAGAAAAGTGAGGATTTGTGAAGTTTTTGAGTGAAAAAAGTAGGAATTTTTGGCTTATTTTAGCCAAAATTGTCTGTATCTTGGCATTTCCTTGCAGCCCGTTTCCGAATTATCCAACACCTGTGTTCTTGCACTTATTCACATACGGAATTAATTGGGCTAAGGATGGAGAAAAAAAATAAAATAATAGAGGTTTGTGAGATTCACTCTAGTCCTCTGATGGATTCATACAAGAACATATGAGATTTCAGTGACAGCGATCTATACTGCCATAAACCCTTAGCAGGCAATGTAACAATTACCCTCATACGGAAACCTACTGATCTCACGTGCCAGTATTAATGTTTTGTTCCTTAGCTTGGATACAAAGCAGGACTGTGACTAGGAACAATTCAAAGACAGTGTTGGCAATTCACCCACTTTTAGAATGAACCTTCTTTCAGAAGTTTTATTCGTTAAAGTAAAAGGTCCCCAGCTTTTTGCAAAAGGACTTTATATAAGAATCGACCCATCCACTCTGGTCACATCCTTGTTCGTGTGTTACATGTACCTGTCTACTGTGAGGATTTTCTTTTTCCTTTGGTACCGGGGAACAAACTCAGTACCTTGCACTTGTGAGGCAGGCGCTGGAACCACTGAGCTAAATCCCCGGCCCTACTGTGTGCATTTTAATGGAGAAAAAGTACACATGCAGAGCACGAGTTTTAGCTGAGTTAAGGTACTTAAAATGCTTTTTATGGTATGAGTTTTGAAAATCCCTTTTCCTTTGTGAATAATTGCATTAGTTTATATTTTCTCAATTGTCACAAAATACATAAAATTGTCATAATCTATAGTCGAATATGTCTACAAATGCAAGGTTTTCTTTTCTGTTTAGAAGTACCTAATGGGATTCTTTCTTTTCATCTCAGATTGTCTTTTTCTACAGTTGTACTCTCTGGGTTCAGACTTTAATTTTATTTTAATTTTTCAATTCCACAGAAAAGGCCAATGTTTCCAAGCACCCTCCAGTTGCTATTCTGCCTCTTGGGACTGGTAACGACCTAGCGAGATGTCTGCGATGGGGAGGAGGTAAAACAGCTGCACAAGAACAGCTCAAACCCAGCCCACAAACCACACACACACACAAGCCCCGTGAACACTACCCAACATTTCTTTACTGCATGACAGTCACCATATTGTTTTAGCAAAAATAATATGAGTATATGATTTTGAACAATAGTCTGGGTTAGAGGAACTGCTTGACAAGGGATTAGACTATGGGTGTTGGGCTTTAGTCCAAAACTGATTATCAGCTTGGCCTTGAGAAGACACATTTTCACATAGCTCTGGTTTTGGGTTTTCTTGCTTGGAAAATGAGTTGAACATGGTTGACTCTAAGGTAATGTTCAGATTTTGTAAATTTGTATTTTTGTAATGCAGAACATAATGATTACATTCTTCACTGAGAGTTGATGCATGTACATTATATATATATATATATATTTAATCTATGAGTTGAGTGATGAAATCCCTAATAAAGGAAAAAATGTAAAGACTTAATGCATGATTTTCTAAGGAAGACAAAATAAGAATTAATGTTTGAGGCCTGCCTTGTGCTAAACAATGTAATCCAGGATACAGAAGAGTGGGGAGGAAAACAGAAGGACCTAATTTATTTGCAAATTCTGAGACTTTCTACTAACAGTTAAACAGATACCAATTTATAGAGAAAGCCTCACATAGCAGAAAAATCAAATGGCTAGATAATGACACAACCATGTAAAAGTCAGAATGGACTTCAGAGGCAGAGAGGCATTAAGTTCAAAACCTGGAAGTGACAGGTTCTTGGCATACTCAAGGACCTGGAAATGGAGCAGAGTGTGTACAGGCTATTTCAAAATGAGGTCTCCAAATATTGTGGAGTCACTAATAGATTGTACTTGTCTGAAGGTTACTAAAAAGCACCAGATTTTGCTAAAGAAGGAGAATTCAGTGCTAAATATTTTTAGCATCTAAACTCACACAAGAGGAGGTTGAGTCTACCAAGACTGTGAATTGGAAGGCCTTAGGGAGCTTGTTAAAAATATAGTGGCCTGGCCTTCCCCTAAATACGTTGAATGGGAATCTCTAGGGCTGAGACCTGAGTAGGTGGCTCTTTCTAAACAAACTCTCAAAGTAACTCTGATTTACAACAAAGTTTGAGAACTCTTGTTCCATGACTGTCTGTTCAACGCCTGTGGATGTTAAACAAACAGAATTGAAAACTAAGTAAAAAATGTAGTAAATAACATGTTTGGGTTTTTCCTCAGAATATGCTGTTGTGTAAGAAAAATATCCAGTATTGAGTTAAATGTCATGAATCTACAGAAATAAACATATAACTATTGTTTATAAGATACTTACATTTGACTGTTCTCACACTTGTGCACTGATTTTAAAAAGGGAAATACATATGACTTCTTGCTATATTCTTCTGGAAAATATGTTTGATATTTGGAAATTAATAAATTTTGTTTCCAAATTAGCAAGTAGATTAAATCTCAGCTTCCATAAAGAAATCCAATTTATACAGTCTTGTGAGTCATATAAAATCACATAAAAGTTATTGTCGATGGACAAAGGCAATGGCTATAGCATATGTCAAAGTATACAAATAAATGCTACCTACCCTTTTGGAGATTACAGTTTCATTGAGTATGAAGACAATAAATCAATACATAATTAAATATATAGTTACAAAATAAGGTCAGGACCATAACAGTATGAATAATAGAGAATTATTTAGACAGATGGTGAGGAAGGCCTGTCTGAGGAGGTAACACTTGAGCTGGGCTAAAAAAAATGAGAAGAAGGGAGAAACAACATCAGGGTTGAGAGGACAGAAGGAAGGAAGGACGGTGGGTTACCATAGGAGCGGTGAGGCGCTGGATCGTTAGCGATGGTGAGAACTGCGATTATGGGAAGGTAATCAAGAACTAAACTAAAGCATAAAGTGAAACTTTAAAGAATTTTTCCAAGGTACAGTGATATATGAGCATTTATATTTTTGAAAACATTATTTATTTTGGAGTAGAAAATAAACAGGTCAGAAAAGGTGAAAATATTTTAGGATTAGTTGTTTAAATAAAAGCTAGAATTATAACTGTCCCAACTGGAGAAGAGAAGAATTAGACCAAGGTATCTTCGTGCACCTGAAGCAGGTAGACAAACAGGAAGAATGTTTTCAGCCTTAGTCTGGTGAAACTTGCCAGAAGAATGAATAGCCACCTTGGGAAAAGCCAAGTACTGTATCAAAGTTGCCAAGATGAGTAATTAAGGAAATGGAAAAGCCGTTTGCTAGAGATTGTTCATAAAGACACACGTGTCAGAGTAAGATTGTCTCTTACCAGGAGTGTGAATTCACACATATTGCTGAATAAATGTGTGCCTTCCATTCTTTCCCAGACTTTAAGGAAAATAACAGTTCCGCCTTCAAGAGACTTGGGCTGAGGTAGCTTACTTGATTAAATGGCTTTGTCCAGTGTTTTTCTGAATGCTTATAGAGCCTTAGTCATTATTATTAGGATTAATATTTGTGAAGCAAAGTACTTGACAGAGTATCTGTTATTAGGTTTATTCAAGGTCAGTGGAATATATTGACCTGAAGCTAGTTTTAAAACCAGAATGTATTTCCATATTTTGGAAAAATGTAACAGTGTAAGAATTTGGATGTGCTAGGGCATTTGAAAATGACTAAATTAGCATTTTATAAAATTTTCTGGTAATAATTAATCTGTCTAACAAAAACTTGAAGAGTATTGGAAGCAAAAGTTTGTGTAGCTGAGGAGATAAATGGTAGAGTTTTAAATAAAACACACTTATGAATATTTGTTATTGCCATTCCTCATATTATTTCATTTACAAAGATTGTTATGACTTTTCAGATAGATTTAGTCATTCATTTCTATCATAAATATTGAATCAATGTTATAATTTAATTTTATTTCTAAGGCCTAGAATGATTTTAAGTTCTAAATCAAAATAATAAAAGTAAAATAACATCATTCTTTTCTATAAATAACTTTTGTGGGTTTTTTTAGTGGATTTGCTTTGACATTTTAAAACATTATCTTCTTCAGTTCAGGAGTACTATTTATAGTTACATATTATTCTGTAAGGAGTGTAGGCATAAACACAAAGAAGTAGGTCATAAATATTTGTTAAATGGAGGACTATAATTTGAAATCATTTTGTAAATTATTCCTCAACTCCAAATGTTGTAATTTTCATCTACTTATTGCCTCTTTCCTCTTTTACTTGCCTGGAAGACTAATTGATATCGTCCTTTTTCATATTTAGCTATAAAATATTTGAAAAAAATATTCATCAGTAAATATTCTTAACTGAGTGACCCTACTAAAATCTAGCTGTGGTAATTAATTGTTAATAAATCATTCCTATCTATTCCTACACTGATATTCCTACTTCATGTTAGTGTCAGTTGGAACAACTCTGGCATAAACCTGAGACATGGCTAAAGACAACCTCAAAATTGATTTGAACCCTTATGATTTACTCACATTTCTGCTGAATACACAAACACACACAGTAACTATTCACGCATATTATATTAATTCATTTATATCTGAAAACCATCATGCTTATTCTACACTTAGAGCATAATTTGGAAAATAAATGAATATATTTAACTGTTTTTATTTAATTCAATAGGGAAAAATATGT